ATATCGTTCATATTGAAACGCATAAAAATCGAACTAGAATGTTGATTATCTTTGGTATATGTGCATTCAAAAAACAAATTAATTGAAAAAGTATATATACTTCAACTTGTAAATATTATTTCCTTTTTATGCATGGATAAAAATCAATAAAAATCATCAAATCTACTGCTGAATTCAAAATATGTTAAGATTGGAAACATATTCGTTAGAATTTGAAATAAAACATCAAATCAGTAACATTTATTAAAGAACAATCGGCTGTTTTCGCATGCTATGATTCATAGCAACAAACAGTGCATATAATACGAATCACGAGAATGACTCATTCGTATAGTTCCAATGCATCAAAGAAATGATTCAAAGAATGTTCATTATATAAGGCAAAACTGAAAAATGTCAATGCAATAGCTTGTTTCAGTAAACAAAAAATATCCTCCATCTGTCGCATTTATTATCAAAACAATAAATAAAAAATGAAAAATATTGATGAGACCACCAAATGACATACATACACAGCTGTGCAACCTATTAACGAACACAAAAAATAGCTTAATTCCCAAAATGATTAGTAGAACATTATTTATACAAGATGTAGAAATGCTTTATAATTATCATTGCTAGCTAATTGACCTTCGTGCTAGCTTAATAAAAAACAACATATTGTTACGGAAATAGTTTTCTCCATTGACTAATACTGAACTTCAACTTTATCATATTGTCGAATTGTCTGACACCGGATGCAACGCTTGACAGATAGTGACGGACATCTGTTCTCAATAAACTCTTTTTTTTCTCCACAAGCCCCATATTGTTGCCAAAGTAGATAGCAGCAGTGCTTTCTTAAAAGATCTTGAAAGTTTATAGGTTAACATTGATGTTGACTTAAACATAAACGATATTCGAGATTAATTCAATGATGTGTTTGGACGATACTAATGTTTGTCACAAATTATAAATATGTAAGCATAGCGACATCTAGAAAACCTAGCACCATTCCTGAAGATTATATTCGATTCTAGTCGAATGGAATGAAAAAACACAATGATATCATAGGTCTCTTCAGCTAACTAGTGTATGATAGAAGTGCATCGAACAGATTAAAAATCTATTTCAACAGACTGAAATACACATGTGTCGTCTAGTATTCATCTTCTATTGAGGCTCGGTTGGGCTTTCCATGGACTGTTCGGATTTGAACCCATGATCAAATATTTCACAGAAATCTATCATATTTTATCGACTGAATACCTGCTTGATTTCACTCATACTGTATTAATAAAAGATGAAAAAGGCCCTGTCCATTGGTTGCAACCTGCTCATCGCCAAGTCTGGATAACTTTTGAAAATTTGTTAGACAAAGATAAGACTATAGGCTCGAATAAATACTTTCTAGTGGTAAATATGTTTAAAAGCGTTAACTTGTGTACTCGATTATTTCATCGAATACTTGACATTTCCAGACACTTGACACCATCAAAACATTCTGCAGCAAATATTTGCTGCAATTGAAAACCTAATTGTCAGATCTTGACGTCAAGTTTTATTAATTTTTATTTTATAAAGATTTCATTGAGAGGCTTATTTTTTGAAAAAGGCAAAAATATTTTTTCATAGATTTCTAAGATAAAAAAATCCAAAATCTTGATGATACCAAAAGACAAATAGATATGTTCATATTATATTATGTAAGACGAAAATATATCCATAGTGGCTGCTTTCCAAAAGAACATCGAAAGAAAAGTAATCTTATTATTCAGTAACTTTGAAAACTTAATTCGAAATTATGATTTAACTTCATTTCTTTATAAATCTCAACATATATTTAACATCTTAGTTTTCTTAAATTTTGCTCATATGACATTTTAAATCTAAAAAATATGGAGAAAATATATCCTGATCAGGATGTGGGCAAGAGTTTGTCAAAGTGATCTGGAACCTGGTAGCAGAGATGGAACCGGCCTAGTTTTTTTCAAACCGGTACCGGTACCGGTCCAAAACAATAAGACCGAACCGGACCGGCCGGTCTACCGATTTTACCGGTAAAACCAGTCTAGACCGATTCGTCGACCGAAACAGATTTATCGAAAAAAGTTGATCTGACCGGTCTACCGGGCAAAACTAGTCTACCGGTACCAAACAGGATGCTGATGATACGTCAGTTTATAAAAGAAAACCGACCTACCGACAAAATATCGTTCGTTAGACAACAGGCTAAGGCTTGAAATGAAGCCTTGTTTCATAGTGAACTCTCTTGAGGGCTATCTTCGTGCTTTCACGCACACTGACATAATGTTTTCCCGTTGATAACAATAGTCTCACTGATGGGTATTTTGAAAATTTTCTTTTAAATAAATTCCTATGTGAGTAGTGGAACTAGTCTTGGTGCCAGTTGTTTTTTCATATGATTACCATCATAGAACGGGAAAGTGAGAAATATAGGCCGGTTTAAGGCGGTTTCGATCGGCCAGACTGGTTTAAGCCGGTTTAAACCGGTCGATCCAAAGTCCAGACCGGTACCGGACCGGCCGGTTACCGGTACCGGTTCCATCTCTGCCTGGTAGAGCTTGAGTCTGAAATCTTTCAGTTAACTTGATCTGGATACGAAAAATTTGGGCTTGGCAGATTCTAGTCATCGGAGAAATGCATAGGATGCGCTAGTTATCGACTACAAAAAAAAAGCCGGAAAAAAGTATCTCGTATCTTCAGAGCGATTATCCAATATCCATTAGAAAATTTCATTGAGAGTGTCACGGAACAGTTCGACTGAGTCTTTTAAACCTGAAAACTGGTAGTATGGAAGGAGATGTGGGTGATATGGTGAGCTTCGAGGATGAGAGATGTCGTCGATGAAGAGGACAGTACATAGGCAATGGTTACACTCAGGAGGGAACATTCCCAACTGTCACATTGCTTTTGAGTCGAGCGTATGTGCATCATGTAGGCTCTAATGATCTATGAATACGCTGAAAAAAGTTCGTGCTGCTAGTTTATTACTACCGAGATATTGCACTTTTACTGTATGTTTAAGCAGAAAGCCGTGGTCCCCCTCAGGAACACTAGGAAAACTGAGTTTCGAGCTTCGACTTGAAACATTGCATAGAGATAGGCCTCAATGAGAATAGTTTATTGTGAAAGTTTCAGATCTTTTCGTTGTTCTTATCCTAAGATACAGCTATGCTAAAATCGCTGATATACACCAGCAGATTCCGATATTCTTATTTCAGACTAGGAGCAATCAAAAGATCTGAAACATTCTGAATAAACTGTTTTCATTAAGGTCTATCCCTATACAAAGTTTCAAGTTGAAATTCGAAACTCCGTTTTCCTAGTGTTCCTGAGGGGCACCACGGCTTTCTGCTTAAACATACAGTAAAATTCAACATCTCGGTAGTAATAAGCTAGCAGCACGTACTTTATTCAGAGTATTCATAGATCATTAGAGCCTACATGATGCTCATACGCTCGACTCAAAAGCGATGTGACAATTGGGAATGTTCCCTCGTCAGTTACAATCTCATGTTCAATCATCATCGTTCTCACGTCTTGTATCTACATCAACAAGATAATCTACCTTTACATTCATGATATTTTTCTATTTTTCTATGCTTGTTTTTTTAGCATAATAATTTAATGATCATTACGGCGTTAGAAATTTTCTTGATCAAAATATACTGACACCAAAATATTGTTTTTGATTGTAAATACGCCATTTTATCAGATCAAAAATTTCTAATTAACAGATGTTAATTCAATTTCTCTTTAAAACATAATATTAGATGATCACTAAAATGCACAAATCACATAGACGATGAATATTTATTACCAAATTTTAATGCAAATAATTCTTCTGTTCAAAAAAAAAAGAAAATAGATGAATATCAACTTGTAGATTTTCGATTGAAGTCAAAAGAATAATTGAACTATAACATTCATCATCTTATCTTGATGTTAATCTCTTATTCAATCTATTTTTTATTCTAATATCAAATGATTACTCTAGAGACATATTTTTCCGTTTTTTTTTAAATTCATGATTCCATTGAACAAATTTTGTTTGTATTACACAATAGAATAGAAAAAGACATAAATTAAGATATTGTTATCCATTTGTAGAATCATAGTCTTCATCTAAAATAATCTCCTATATATATGAATCAATCAATAATGCATTCAATTCCATGATTGTTCTTTTAGTGAATAGATTCTATTTTTACATAGACATTTTGTACTCATTACTAATTAATATAATTAAACACCTGAGAAGATATACTACATATTGTTATTTAACATTACATCATACTGTTGTCTTGTATCTATCTATTCTCTATGGATGAACGTTAGGAATGTTGTGACAAGCCTACCGCTTCTATTCACTCTAACATGAAATATCAAACGTCGGTCAATGTGGAGTAGGCATACATAGTGACTAACATATACACTCACAGCGTCCGCTATTCGTTTGCATAATGAAATTGAATGAATTTGCGTGCATTGCTGTATTAAGTGCTAATCAGCAATGAGTGCACCATACAATGTCGGCTTGACTTGTTGTCTGTCTATCGACTTCTATCATCATAGTAGGGAAATCGATTCTTTTTTTTTTCTTCTTCTCTTCAAACGTCATAGAAAGAAAAAGAATTGACGTTCTTCAAATAAAAAATAAAAATAAAAAATAAAAGAGAAGCCGATATTCAATCAAAATGAACAAGGAACAGCACTTATTTTCTCTTGTCTACTTCTCTTGCCTAAGGAAATACTGTTCATTTTCTTTTCTTTTTTGTTGCTAGTACGTAGTAAACGAGAGAGAGAGAGAGAGAAAGAAAAATACTATTACTCTTCAATGGATCGTCTTTCTTTATTTTATTAACGAAGAGATAAAGAGAGATAGAAGAAGAAAAAAAAAAAGAGGCACAGAGTAGAAAAAGAAAACGAGTATTTTCTTCTACGCTTTTTCTTTTATACTGATTGATCGTTCGAAATAGTTAGTTTGTCATTGATCAATGATGAAATTAACAGAATCTTTCTATTACGAAGAAACTCGTGGTTTATGTGGTCGTAAAATATTACGTGAAATTGGTGAACAAGGTCAAACAAAAATTCGTCTCTATGCATATGAAAGTTGGCCAAAACCAGCTCTTATATCATATTGGACAATAAGAACAGTTTGGTGGTCAAAAACAAAATGTGAAATTATTGAACAACAAGGTCATCGAACAAGCGTTACTAAGTAAAATCATCATTTTTTTTTTCTTTTTTTTTGTTAGAGTGAATACACTTGTTAGTCCTAGTTGATGAAAAGAATCATTCTCGATAGTAGAGATAATAATAACACAATCCTATTGTAGAAGAAAAGTAGGTTAATACGTTCGAAATTTTCAAAGAAGACGATTGAATGAGTTTAATTGAGCATTTCATCGTATGAGATAAGCCTTTCTATTCTTGTTCGTTGATGATTTCCGTAACTTGAAAAAGATCTATAATTAACTATGTCAATCAAAAAGAATAAAACGAAATAATTTCGTTTGTCTTACATATATATATACATAATGATAGTATCAAACCAATGATTAACATTTCTGTTTTTAGTTGATATATATATATGTCGTGCCAAAGTTGTAACATCGGCAAAAATTTTGTCGAAGCTGTTAACAACTTCGACAAAATATTTGCCGAAGTTACAACTTCGACACGACATATATATATATGTATAAATACAGAATTATATGAAAATATATATTTTATATAGAACATATGCATATGATTGACAGTGAATAGAACTTTTATCGAGTAGAGAAAAATATAGGATTCGTATAATATCTACTTCACAATATGATTGAAAGACATTAGAACATTTATTTATATGAAACTGGTCAATGACTTTTCTCTTGACATCGTAGTCGACTAATCAAATTAGAACTAAATATAAGGGGCATTTTCTGGTCTATGGCTAATTTGATTCGTCTCGTTTATATGCAAAAGAAAATAGAAATGATGGTCAATTTTTATCTCTCACTAGAATCACTAATGAAGATGTAATAGACGAACGAACACAGGAAAAGACATTAACATGCTGAGATCGAACACTTTTAATGAGTCGGATACTATAGAGACAAGAAAAAAAAAAGTCGAGACAGATCAGATGAAGATAGATTGTGGGAAGGATAGACATTATATGTATAGTAATGCGTCACTACTCTGTAAGATATTAGACACTAATTCTATTGTTTATAGAATATTTTGATTGCATAAAAGAAAAATTGTCTTCTATTATATTTGTGTATGATATGATGATGAGTTCAGAAAATTTCATATTAGTATTCTTAACTATCGAAAACAACTAATCATACTATATATATAGATGTTATATAAAAATATGTTTATTTTTCTAGAGGTCATATGAAATGCTTGGGTAATGGTCGTTTACAGATAACTGGTCAATTTCAACGACATACGGATTGTTTCTTTCGTCTTATTCTATCATCACAAATAACTGATGATGATTTATCAGATGGTTATATACTTTCAGGAGATTTAGAACTTGGTGATACAAAAGATTCAATGCAACAAAGTCATTTTGCTGTTGTTAAACTTGAACAACAAGATTCTCATACATATATATTAAATAATTTTTATAAAAAAGCACGAAGTTTATTATTGTTCGGTTGTGTATGATTAAAAACGATCAATTATTTTGACAGTAGTTATGTACAGTGTTTGTACTAGTCAAATATTTATCTTATGTGTTTCTATGTCGTATTTGAAGAAAAAAAAACAAATCTCTGCATCGTTGTTTTTTTTTCGGAAGAGAAAAACAATAAATGTATTTTATGTGTATTTCGTTTGATTAAAACATTAAGTTAAAAACTTAATTTTAATACTTTCGATTATTTATTTACTGTTAATAAAATCTAGTAATTCGATGTTAGTAGACAAGAACTTATACATTGGTTTAATGTTGCAATTAACGAATATGACAAATTAATAGAGATTATTCATTAGTATACACAGCAAGGAATATGATATGTGAATATTTTTTTATTTAAAATAAATATTTTATATTATTTTTTGTTGCCAATATTATGATAGAATATTTGTTGGAAATTTATTCTAAAAATTTTCAAATAAATTTTTATGGTCATAGATAATTGAATACAATTTGTTTAACTAATCATCAAATTTGAGACATTTATCGTTTGCAGACATAACTTACACAGTTGCAAATTGATATAGTTCATGATAGTGTCAATGTTTGAGCTATTGCAACAGTCTATTTCATTCTACGAATAACAATACATCTGAATATATTCCGATTAAGCTATGTAAAGTATATTTTGTTTAATAATGTCACAAAAAAAGATTTACAAGATCAACTTGAAATTACCAAACGTTGCAATCGATACTAAAGAACATATTATAACACTGAAAACAAAATATTCAAGTATTCCCATTGGTTTCTCAGATGGAGTGTTAAGACACCTTGCATATCTCGTGTTTGTCTATTCAATAACTCTATGACATAATAAAAATGTTGATCCAGACTCTGATTGATCTCATTAATTTCATTTCTTCAATTATTTGTTGTATTCCGTAGTGCTAAGCGCCACAGAATGTTGCCACTAATCAAAGAAATAAGGCATTTTTATAAGGATTAATGAGACTAATTTAAATCTTAGTCGAAAGTTCGACCTCTTACTCTATGATGTTTGAATTTTTTTAGTTTCGGTCGTAACCGGACTGAGTTCGTCATCGAATTTTTGCTACCGTGTTCCTATCAATTTTTCGACTGGAAATGGTCCGTATTTTTTAACCTGCTTAGTCTATTTGTACTAACAACGTAAATCTTTCAAATAGATGTCGCTCGAATATTGAAGATATATAACTCATTTTTGAATAATATTAAAAATAATAAAAATGCAAGTTTTTTCCTTTCATCTTCGATTTTAAAATGTATTTTATATTTTTATTGAAATAAAACAATGTTTCTAAGTATAGAATTCTATTGGTCCAATAAGGAAGCGTGTCATGTTCACCAACGATTATTATCTCATTTATTAGAAATTCCATTTCTTTCTTTTTTCTTAAAAAACAAAAAAAAAAAAAAAAAAGAAAGAAATTTCTAATTGGCATTTGTTAACTGCGAATGGGTCTTGGTGGTAGTAGTTTAAATATTCCAGGTGGTGGTACTGAAGGTTTTCATGTTCTACGTGTTCAACATGGTTCACCAGGACATAAAGCAGGATTAGAGCCTTATTTTGATTTTATTGTTAGTATAAATGGTGTTCGACTTGATACAGACAATGAAAAATTTAAAGAAATTTTAAAAGAAAATATTAATAAACCAGTTGAATTACTTGTTTTTAACAGTAAAACACAAACAGTTAGACAATTACAATTAACTCCACATGAAAATTGGGGTGGTCAAGTAAATAATAAATGTCTAGTTTTTGTTTTGTTTTTTTTTACTATTTTATTTTTTGAAAATTATTCTCTAGGGTTTACTGGGTTTAAGTATACGTTTTTCTTCATTTGATAAAGCAAATGAAAATGTTTGGCATGTACTTGATGTTCAACCTCATTCACCAGCTGCCTTAGCTGGTTTACGTTCTAATACAGATTATATTATTGGAGCTGATACATTATTAAATGATTCAGAAGATTTTTATGCATTAATTGAAAGTAATCAAGGTAAATCACTTAAACTTTATGTTTATAATTGTGAAAATGATTCAACACGTGAAATAAATCTTACACCAAATATTGGATGGGGTGGTGAAGGTAGTTTAGGTTGTGGTATTGGTTATGGTTATTTACATCGAATACCATTACGACCAATAAATTCACCTCCAGTAACAAAATCAAATCCATTAATACTTAATGGTGATAAAGCTCCATTACTTTCTTCAATACCTCCACCAAATATAACAGCTGGAACAAATTTAAGTTTTACACTTCAACCTGTTAATATGCCACCAATAACAGTTACAATGCCAAATTTACTTATCCCACCACAAATTAATACTAATACAACGAATGAAACAACAACAACAAATATATCTACTGATCCTAGTCAATTTTCTAAGTATGAATAAAATTAAAACTTTTCTTATAATTTCGATCAAATGAAAACTTCTAACAATAATCATTCTACTTTAAACAATAAGATTCAAATCTCAATATCATATAAAGTTTTGTACATAGCTTAACGAAATAGTTGTTTTTCTCTCATAAAAAAATACGCAATAAGTGATCTAAATTTACTTCACTAAAATACGTAATGTTTACAGTTCATTAATCAAAAGTATTGTTGATAATTATTCAATACACTTTCATTATTAATGATGGATAGGGCATAATAAATTGGTGCGTTTTATATTTTTATATTTAATAATGTTATGTTAAAAAGCACCGGCTATCACACAATGTCACATAGAAAGGTCCACAGTTTTCATCGGATAGTAGCCCATTTCATTTTTAAAAATAAACAAAATTTTGAGCAATACAATTTTGATACATGACGAATTGCTATTTCTGAATACTTCGGTTAATAAGTCATATCGAAGACTGTAATCGTAGTTGCACAAAATTTTATTCATTTTAAAAACATAAGATGCACATTTAAAATAAGCTGTTCATTGTAAATTGTAAAAATTTTCACCTTGTACCATGTGTAATTATTGTTTTTTTTTTACAACGTATTAAATGACTAAAAATTGAAATACAAAGTGCAGCTGTTGTATTCATTTATAATCCTTATTGGTTACATGCACAGTAGGAAGTAATGCTATGCAGAAATAGACGATAATTACCTGTAAATAGAATAACTATAATATTGGACTTTAACTGATTTGTTTCATATTACTTTAAAACTTTCAAGAGTGAAAGAAATTATTACAAAGTATGTTGTTTACAATAAACCCTGTCGTGAACTATCAAATCTCGTTAGTTCATAAAATACATTTTATCATTCCTTCGGGAAATGTTGATAAAAAAAAATGTAATAATAAGCCAACATACGGCTTAACTTCAAACAAAATCATACTTTACTTATTACATTTTCTTTTTGTTTACGGCTTTCTCTTGCACCCAAATCTATCATACATGTCAAATATGAAAGATGAATTCTATAATTCAAGAATGAAAACAAAATTTACTGGCCTAGTTAATCTTTTATATCTGCACCGAGGCGTACGAGCGCTATGTGAAACCAAGTTTTTTTTTTGTTCTGATTTCAGGATTCCGATTTAGAGAAAAATGTCGTAGAATTTATTCGTATTACATCTAAAATAATTCTTTATCTGTCTTTAATAATGCGCTGATTCATATATTTTATAAGATGATTGGCTTAGCATTTTACTGTAAAATTGAGTTCCTGTCACGGTAAACTTTACGGACTCTATTTTCTCAGTATATATATTCCAATTAATATTCTCTTTTTTTTACATTCTCAAAAAAAAAATAAAACTATATTATCGTAATATTAAAATATATTTTTATTTCATTAAAGGCAATTCGGTGATATGACACTGAACACATCATCATCCAATGTTGTACCAACTGCTGTTCCTTCAAGTTCTTCAAATTTTATTCCAACTTCAAATTATATTCAACCTCCGCCTCCTCCTCTTCCTTCTCAACAATCAACAAATACAGCTTCTACCTATCAATTACCTCCTATTATTCCACCTCCGGTTATGCCTCTATTTAATCCTCAACAACAATATTTTCAGCCTATACCTCCTTCTGTATTCGCTAACTCTCAACAACAACAACAAATACCTTTTCAATTCAATCCTACCGTCACTAATGCTTTTCCAGCGTTTGTACAACAAACATCTCGCGCATCACCATACACAAATGACACTCATAGTCAACTACATGAGTATGATAGTACTGCTCATGGTCAAAGTCATAATCATTAGTTAATTATTGTTATATTGTTTTCGTTTTTTTTTTTTGATTTCTATGGGTTTAATATGATTAATGATATTTTATTCTCTAGTTTGAAGTGAAGTACATTAAAAAAAAAAATATTCATCTTTTTCTTGTTCTTAATTTTTGTTCAATTATTCTCTAAAATTTTTCTTTTTGTTTTTGTTTTTCTTTAAGATATAAATTCTCCATGGATTGATTCCTTGAGAATTTTCTATTATTATTGCCCATAGGCATTCCCTTTGATCCATATCCCAAATAAAACGAAAACTAATAATAAGATAACATATTTCGATGGTTGATAATCCAGATAAATTATGTACAATTTGTCTGCGTAAATTTTCATCTTTATTAAAATCTGATCAATTAATATGGAAAAAACAAATTGAAGAACAAGTTGATAGAGTTTATCGTGAAGAAAAACATCAAGCTAAATTAAATTTAACTGAACAACAAAAACGTAAACATCATCGTGGTGAATCCTGTCGAATTGATGAAGAATTACCAATACAATCAATAAATAATACATATGATAAAATTATATTTCATAATCAACGATTATTTATTGAATATTTTCTTCATGGATATTGTCCATTAAATTCCATATTATCAGAACATCTTGTAAATTATTTAGTTGCACATGATCAATTGAATGATTTTACATTATCATTATTTTCATCAAATACAACATGTCTTAAAAGATTTATTATTAATGTTAAATATTTAAGTCGTTTACAATGTCA